ACTACACTTCACAACACTTCACGACACTCCAATTCAACTACTACTTTAAATAACTACTACTTTAAATATTCTTCTTCAATAAATTTTCTTCTGCAATTCAATTGAAGAGACGACCATGAAGCTTCAAGTGCGCGTCGTTGTACGCCAACGGACTGCAGCCGAAAGGCTTTTCAGTACACAGTCGAATTAGTGCGAGACATTGAGAGACAGGTATTTCAGGTATTTCGTAGAATGAACTTGAAGGGTATTGAATGTAAAGAAAACGGCAAAAAGTACTTTATGTACTTTATATACTTTAATAACTTTTCGTTTCCATGTTCATAAATTGCAATTTAACTCCAAAAACGGAACGAGATATCAAAATGTGTATAGGACGTTTCTTAAATAGTTATTTATGACACGAGAGCCAAAAATTGCTTTTTTATTTTGTGAGTAAGGCCGCACGAGCCCAGTAGCCCGAGTGGTGCAATTCTAAGACTTGACTTTTATTACGCATGTGATACACTATTTTTAGACAACCATACAGGATTTTATTGTATTTGAATTCAAATATAAAAATATACCTGATTATACACGAAGATCAGTCGTATGTGATTCGGTCAGTCGATAGTGTATTGTTTTCTATCTATCATTTATAGATTTATCTGTACATTAGAACATTATCTTTCTTTAACCATTAGTGCTAAAAATTGAAGTTCTAGCACGCTTTCCAAGCCCTGAAATTTCTTTTAGAAGTGACTGTCTAAAAAAGTATTTTATTACTATTTAGCTAAAACCAAAGAAAAAATAGTCGTACTTGGGGTAACAAAAACAATGATGTAATCATTATTATTATCTTATCATTCACCATTTTAATCGCGTCTCAAGATAATCCCGACTACGTTTGGTGGCACCTGTACTTTTAATTAAACTAAGGTCTTATAAGTCAGAATCCAAAGAGAAACCGCGTCAGGCCATAAATGTAGCTTCACTATGCGCACGTTTTGACCTCCTACGACCTGCCCGTTTACTGTAGTGGTAGGAGTAGAGGTAAGAGCGACTTACTATTTTATTAGAAATGCAGAAAAATTCAATCTGGAGTTTGTATGTAAATAAGTTTTCTATAACTCGGGAACGAAAGTGTCTAGTTTTTCAAATCGCGTTGTTTTAAATTTTATTATTATTTATATTTTGCAGTTTTCGGTCAACAATGAGGAATTATGGGGCACGAAATATGCTGTAGAGATATTGTTCTTAAAATTTGTCGTTTTTGAAAAATTTAATCATTTTTAAGTTTTAAATGGAACTATATATTTTCCTTATCAGCAAAGAGTATATCATAAAAAACTAATAGAATGATGTATCATATGCTAGAATATGAAAGTAGTTTCACTATGAATTAAGTCTTTCTGACATATGATTTTAAATTAAACGTAACAGTCAACTCGTAACAGTCTCGGCGCCACGAAGGCCACCGTTCCCGAAGCCAAAGGATGGGAGGGCTGCTACAAGAAATATTGTCCGTTTAACTGAAAAACACATGTTAGAAAATATAATTGTAAACTCAAAATACTAACATATGTTATATCATTTTATCCCTTTTTTATGATGTACCAATTACTATTAAGAAAAAAGATCGTTCCATTTAAAACATCACGGGTGATTAAATTTCCCGAAAAATAAAAATAGTACAAAAATATCTCTACGACCTATTACTTGCCCAATGATTCTGCATTGTTGAGCGAAACTGCACTTAGATTTTGTGAACCGTTAAGAAGTTATGAGGGTGGCCCATAGTTACTTGATGTATTTTTTTCAAAGAAAGAAACATCATTCAAAACTGAGGCTTCATTCCTAACCCTAACTTAAAAATTAATAAATTAATGTGTAAATACAAAAATAAAACTAACAAATACATTTATAACTATAAAAAATATGTTCATTTCGGAATTAATGTCTTCTTGTTGAATACTACTGTGTTAGATAATACAATGGTTTTCAACGGACGTGGTTAAACATAGTTAAATAGCGCCTATTACATTCAAAAGAAATTTGAACTTATTCATAGCTTTTGTATGCAGAGGAATTTAAAATATTCTCCAAACCATATTTTTAAAATTAAATCACTTACACTATAAGTATTTTTCTGGAGAAATTAATTGAACAATAGTTGTAAAATCTTAATAGTATATTGCGTAGATGACAATTATGGATAATTTTATTTACTTATTTTATTGTGTTTAGTGGTATATTTCGGAAACTATAAGTGTTAATTTTATTAATACAAATAAAAAAATCAACTCTAATATTTTGCTATCATAATATTTTAGGGTAATGCTGGCAAACCTCAACCGGAAAAATAGATTCATGTTTTCTTTTTCTAATATTAGAACCTTGTTGGTATTTGGCCTCATCTTATAATTTTAACAAAAATAAATTTATACGATAGCAAAGTTACAATATTTGTGTCTGCTTCCGTCCTTTCCAGGTGCACGTGGACCCGCGGAGGGGCAGAATGGTGCGAGCGGAATCCGAAGGGCTGGGGCATTCTACCTCCCACTCGCTCAGCGCAGTTAACAACCAGAGACAATTTTAGCTACAAGTTCGGGCGCCTTGAAATCCGCGCCAAGGCAGCGGTGGGCGATTGGCTGATGTCACGTAAGTACTCCTTATCTCCCATTTGAAAAGAAACTGCATAAACTTTTGTGCTGCAAGGTTTTGCGCTAAAGCAGCTTGTTTTGAAACCAATGTGTTGTGGCGTATGATAAATGCATGATAAAATTATATTGGTCCAATTTGTTAGAGAATGATACATCTTCGTAAAGTTACTTTTATAAAAACGATACTAAAACTTCGACGGCTTTATACACACAGTGTTAAAGAATTTTATAAGATAAATTTACAATTAAAACAAATAGAGAGAAATCGTTTATTTTTCTTTGTGCCTTTCTTCATTTTTAAATTTGTTTAAAGTGCGACTTTAATCACACTTTTTTCTATGCTAAAATGTGTCTTTATTCCTACTGGTATTTACACTTCACAACAACACCTAAACTGACAATCCTTGTGTCAGGCCAGAGCTTATCAAATGCACGCAGCCCTCAAGTTGTGCATCAGATTTACACACATGGCCTTGACATAACGTGCATTTTTGGAGTGTAGAAAGCCCACACTGAATTCGTCAAGTAAATCATCAGCGACCTTGGTCGGTTAACGTTTGGTGTGGAATAATTGGCGATTAACCTATTGGACCATACTTTATTGACGGTAATCTAAATGGTGACAAGTACAGAAACCTTCTTGATAAAGAACTATTGAGAATGCTTGAAGACGTAAATTTGGAAGTGCCACAAAACATGCAGTTTCATCATGATGGCTGCCCAGCACATTACTTGAGACGCACGGCGAGTTATTGGATGAGGGATTACAATTAATCTTGGGCATCGCTAGAGAAGGACCAGTGCACTGGCCAGCCAGATCACCAGACCTACCTCACCAATTTATTTTTGTTGCGGTTAACAAAAGATTGCTTTATAAGAAAACACTACTACTCGTGAAAACATGATGCAACGAATAAGACGCTTTTCCGCGATTATCCCAGATAGCTTATGCGATGTGTTCGTTCATTGTAGGACGCATCAATAATGCACTGAGTTCAGGATCATCATTTGAGCACTTACTTCAAATAAATGCTGAAGTATTCGTAGTATCATCTAAAACCAGCGCTCTGATAGTGAGAGGCAAAAAGACTCACTGAAAAAACCCAATAGTGAGAGGCAAGGAGAATCACTGAAAACAAGCACCCCGAAGGGAACAGAAAACTACTACGTCCACGTCGTTGTTCCTGAGTTACGCTAAAAGTAGTTTATTGACTTCCGTAGAAAATACTGATTTTTATTAATCGACCACGTTCAAAACCACTTAAATTACAGTCGGAAATCTTCGGAAATCAAATTTTTGCGTTTACAGCGCCACCTATCACAAATCAAAAAAAAAAAAGTTCAGCCAAATCTTATGTAATTTTGTTCGTAGAATCCGAATCTGAAATAAAAAATGTGGGATTCCTATTTAAGATATCAATATTGCCCACCGCCCCACCCGCTGGGGGCAGGGGGTGTGTGCTGATTTTAGCATAGAATAATTTCCCCTTCAAAACTGTTAAGATTTGGTCCCGGCTCAATGTTTCGTTCATCGCGTATTTTTTGAGTTATTTCAAGTTGTCAAGTTAAATTAGACATCTGTATATCCTCAGTAATTAGATAATAACTTTATAAATTTATAATGTATTCATTGCTAGTGAGAAAAATATAAGTCACTTTACAAAATCAGAGATGAATAAATTTCTCGAAAACTAAAAATATTTCAAACAATAATACTACGGCATATTACTTGACCTGTGGTTTCACATTGTTAAGCAATTTCGATATCGTCCCCATAGTTAGTGGGTTACCTGTATATGTAGAGCATCATATACACATACATACATATCATTTTTCCAGAACACCTTTCTTCAAAATAATGTTTGTTTCAGAGCTCCTCCTAGAACCACAGGCCGAGGTGTATGGTCGCGCCCCTGCTGAATCAGGCTTGATGCTGATATCCAAAATCAGGGGCAACCAGAATTTAGTGTCGCCAGAGGGAAGACTAGAAGGTGCTAGTCTCAGCATCACACAGGCACACATCGCCACGTGCCACCGGATATTGTTTATTTTTAAAGCCTGTGAACTTAAAGGCAAGAAATACTCCGACGAAATGCACCTGTACTCGGTCATTTGGACTCCCGGTGAGTACTTGGCAACTGTAGTAGTAATACAAAATTTCTTCTTTCAATTACATCGGTAAACAAGAAAATGAAATCGTTTGCCTGCAAATTTATTTTCATTTAGTGAAAACAACGTTGTAACAATATATTTCAGCAGCAAACAGTGTAATAAATATTTTACGTTACCTACAATTTTCGTCACCTCTTATTAAAATGTGTTTAATTATCAGGCAGGAGCTATATTTGAATGAACACTAAATAATTAGTAGTCTTAGTACTTATCACCGAGATATAATTTTAGCTACGTTAATATGCTATGTTAGAAACAATGTTAAAAATGTAAACGACAAATGATTTTACTGTGTAAAAAGATATTTTCTCAATAGTGTTTGTAATGGGATGTTGTTGTGGGATCCACAAAGTTATACTCATCAGGGCCGGCAGAAGTGGAGGGTGCGGTGGGTAGTACTACTGAAGCGAAATTTTTCCAGGTGAGTAATTACTCACCTGGAATTTAGACAAAAGTGAAAAAAATCCAATTCAACACAATTTCTTACCACCTTGGAACAGCCGACCTGGATGGCCGAGGAGACAAGAGCGTGTGCCGACCCAGCGCCTCAGCCGGAAGGGTCCCGGGTTCTTGTCCTGCCGTCGGCATCGTCGTTTGTCCTTTGTCTTTCATGCATTGGGTTCTCGAGGAAGGCCTTGTGAGTCTGCTCATCTCAGGCCAAAGAAACCGCAAGTGTGTCAGCGTCTAGGAAAAAGGTTAATGTGCGTTCCCATGAGGGACATAGTGGGTACCAGGAGAGCCGAAATCGGCATCCCCTGAATCTGAAAAAAGCCCCAAGCGGAAAAAAAAGCGAACTTGCACCCGTACCCAGCATTAGTTGATGAGATCAATATTGAGAATGTGATGGATGACTTCATTTTTTTAAATCCCAAAATAGTGTGAGTTTTCGCAAGCGTTGATCGACACCAATTAAAAAATACTGAGTAAGCTACATATTTTATACTCGTATCGTTATCATGATTTTTCTTCACGAAATCTTAAGTACAATAACAAATGACATGCCCTCTACCCACGATACTCTCCACATGAAATTTATACGTTTCGCTGGCCCTGATACTCACAAAACTTGAAATTACTCCTCGAATCCCAACAGTGAAGTATTTCATTTGAAGTGGAAAGATTTACAACGAAACAAATATATTTGTACTAATAAAATAGAAGCTAGGAAAAGCTTACTACTTAAAATAAAAAAAAATATCTTTACTAAAATACTCATGATATATTAAGTGACGTCTATTCTAAAAGGGAAGGTTACTTGGGTGAGTACGTTTAGACTACTTTGGTTTGATAGTTTTTTCAAGTTCCACAGTGACATGGATTTGCTTGATTATTCATCTTTCATATGAGATGAATCATTTCTACGGTTTACAGTGGGTTGGAATAGCGACGTCGAGATGATTATTGCCATTATCACTTAATCAGTTAAAGGAAACGAATTCAATGAAACAGCATAATTATGTACACCATAAATTATATAGTATATCATAGATATACTCGTAGAAGTGCTCAAAGGAATAGTATTATAATTACAATGAAATTATGTATTGTCAATGCTATTCAAACAACGATTCATTTACTATAATTGAAATTATAATATTACTATTTTCGATGTCTTTTCAACTTCAATATTCGCTAATACCCGACATCTGAAATTGAAAATATCATTACTGAGTCTCAGTGACATGGAGGTCCTAATCCGTGTGGTGCAAGTAGAGAAGCCATTAAATTATTATTTGAAAATTCATTTGTAAAGTAGTCAGTAGCTTGTAGCCTATAATATTTTCATAAAAATTGTTATGCCACTGATATATATATATAATATATTAATATATATATATATATATATATATATATATATATTATATAAATTAATCACATATGTAATAACATGTTTCTGTAAGTGTTTATTATTTTATTGTAGAGTCTCTTAAGATAAAGCTGGATGATTGCAACCATGAAGTAAAACCCCCACATGGCAGTTTTCTGAAGCATGGATACTTCAAAGACAATTGTGAAAATAGTCCATGGGAGAAGGGTACTCATTTAGTACCTTTTGATCAAGAGGTACGTTTTGTACGAAACTATAAGTAAATCAGCCCAATCATTGTATAGTATCGTAATATTAATGGTTTTCTCTTTGGTTCAGTTTTATGTCTCATTCAAACTCATTCCGGGAGGATTTGGTTTGCATCACGACGTAGACATAACTCCTAACGGTAAACCAAAGAGTGCTATATACAGTGAAGGAGATCCTAAGGTACGTTAAGCACTTCGATATTTAATCTTATAACATATAATGACTTTTATAGTGAGTAGCATCTTAACATTCTTTATATTCCATTACAGGCGCCTCTGAGCTTTTGGAGGCACAAGGAAGTATGGCTCCCGACGTGGACATCAGATCTAGAAGTGGATTCTGTGAAAGTATGGGCACTGTGATATTTAGTTAGATGTAATGTAGGTACGATAATATTATAAGTGAAATAAATTTAAGAGCAGAAATTAATTTAACTGCAGTTAAATTAAATAACTTTATTTTCGTAATTGAATTGTAATGAGTTTAAATCTTTGGCGCTCTAGAAAAATATTTTTCAAGGCATTTTCTAAACGATCACCGACATTTCCGAAATAGAGTATCTGTTATATTTTTAGAAAGGCATTTTCTATAGTGTACAATAATGATATTTACCGAATGCATTCTAAGAAAACTGAATGATTTTTACAATGCGGTAACGATGGAAAGTGGTGTGAGAGAGATAAAAGGATAGAAATAAAAAACTAAAAAAGTTCACTTTTACACTCTCTTTTTTGGTGTTTGCTAATACTGTATAAAACTGTCACATTCATACACATTCCAGAATTTAAAAAAAATTCAAATTAGTAGCTTTTTGTGGGGACCAGTAAACGGATGAAATAATGAAGTCGCCAGAAAACGAAGAGTAGAGCTGAAGGTGAGTTACTGTTCACAAAAATTAAATATGCAGTTCGTTTACCGTTGCAAGTAAGTTTTTTATAACTCAGGAACAAAAATGTCTATTTTTTTAAATGTTTCTAATCTCGCTCTTTTTATATATTATTTTTATTTATTTTGATGATTTCTTAAAAGTACCTACTCATCTTTTAATTATTTGTAGTTCAAGTAAAAATGTTAAAGTGAAAATGATCAGAAGGGAGTCTGGGACTCAAGAAAACGTGCGTAGATCCCCGCGATACGTCACATACCCTTTTTACTGTTTTTTGACTAAATAAATCCAGATCTAAACTCCCAATTGATTTTGTACGAAGTAGGTTAGCCCGGTAACTTTTGTATCTTCCTTACGTACAGTATACGAACACTGAAAAAGTAGAAATTATCTTAAAAAATATCGAAAGTATTTCTCATTTCCTCAGTTTCCACGTGTTTGATTTTGTATTGACTTTTGTGAGAAGTGGTTTTCTGATTTGCGATCATCCAATGATATTTTTAGCCGATGAATACGAATACAACCTTCTCACTGAATTGTAAAAATATTGTTCAGCACTGTTCGGAATGACTGACTAACTACAGTGGTACTGTAGACACCAACAACCTTCGTGTCTAGTCTCGTTATCTATGTAAATTTCACACCACAATGTTATAAACAACCAACTTTGTGTCTAGTCTGATTACCTCTCTAAATTTTACAACACAATGTTGCAAACAAAATTACTTCTCAACGTCAACTTTTTAGAATTTGTTGCGTCTTTCATTGTTGCAACGCGTCTCCAAGCCCCGCGGGGCGTTGAGCATTTTGCGCTTCCGGAGTAATCCTCCATTAATTCATATACGTCATACCTGTCACGTCTCGTCGCAGTCAGTTTTCAAGACGACCGCCAAATAGCATCTTACTACGCGCCCCTGCGTCACTACTCAGCGGCCAGAATTGGAAAGGATTTAGTAGGACTGAGATAGGGTTTAAAACACTTCACAGGGGTTGGACTAGCCCCTGTGAAGCAAGCAAACTCGTTTTGTCATAACAAATTTCTACGGGGATTCTGCGGGAATCGAACCCGGAACCCGAACTCGGAACTTCAGTGGTGAGAGGCAGGCGAATTAGCTATTGAGCATAAGACTGATGATACTGCAGTCTATTTTATTACTGCTGTAATGTTTGTATCAATTTAAAATTATCATCCACTTTTCTATCATTAGCTCCGCGTATTTTTAACTTAATAAGTTAGGTTTCTCACAAAAAATCTGCTTATTGGCACATTCGGTTTGAAACGTCAGGTTCATTGCATTGTTTCTTTAACACTGTCGCCTACGACATTCAGTGAAATCTTGTCGATGCTTTGTAAGAAAGGATTTGAAAACACGGTGTTATTGGAGAAGATGCTTATTACGAATTCTTAAGGTAGTGTTCCTATTTTGTGTTACTATTTACTGTGATGTTTACCTTACATTTCACTAAAAGTTATAAATCTACGAAATATACAAATATTTCTGTAATTGTTGTTTATATGAAGTTTTCTCAATAATTTTGATTGAAATTGGAATATTCATCACTATCGCTGTGGTAATATGATCTGCATTAAGTGGTCAATTATTTTCAAATAATGACCAATACGCAATATTTTGTAAATCATATAATTCAAATTCTTTAGCTTCATTTATACAATTCAAGAACTGTATGTAACAGTTGGTCACTAAAGGTGTTCCCCTCGAATATCTCTTGAACAGTTCTAGATATTGAGATACGATTTCACTCAAACTCATGGGAGTGACACATAAAATGATTTACCTAAATAAATCCAAGGTTACTATATAAAACGTAAGTTGCTTCGATATCTATTATATAAAAAAAACATAATGCAATATTTTACACAATGGCATACCCCCTGGCACATATGTAGGCTATTGCAATGAAAGGCACATCTCAATAACTATGTTACATCTCTTAGTAGTTATTCAAAGATTTTAGAAATATTCAAAGAGAAAATCTTAAGTAAGCAACCTGAGTATTTGTGTAGTTATACGATTGAAATCCCGACACTAATATACTAATAAATGTTAACATTTCTTGAAAAGTACAAGGCAAATACGACCGGTATACGACGAGTTCCTTTCCTATTAAGTGTTATGCCTCAAAGTCTAATTTTCCTTCACGGGGAGTGCGCAATGCTGCGGTGATGCTGTTCTTCCCATGATCGTCGCTTCCCGGTGTATGCACTCGCTAGAGAGCCCTTCCATTTCAAGTGTATATACATAAGTATTAGTGGATGAGGAGGATGAGTGGCAACCGTTGCCGCTACAGGACGAGATGGCAGCGAAGTTTCGACACCAGCTGTATAGCTTTTCAACTTCGACCCTTACTGCATGAACACAGTCAACTCTCCAAATCCAATGCTCTATTACTCTACAAAACAATAATCCGGCCGACATTACTCTATGCTTGTCCCATCTGGACCAATGCTGCTAATTCCAACCTCAACAAAATACAAGTTATCCAAAATAAATTTTTAAGATTAGCTACAAAAGCATCATGGTACATCAGCAACAATCAATTACACAATGATTTAAATATAAACACAATAAAAAACCAAATAGCCTATCTCGCACACAACTTTTACACTAACCTTCTCCTAATTCAAGCAACATCCTTCTATAAACTAGGCAAAGCCCCCAATTATCAAACAAGAATTAACAACAGATATCCCCTCCATTCATTTTATAAAATATTCGCAAACTTGGAATAATACTAATGTGAGGTGCTTTCTGCTACCTCTCCCATTTTTTTATATAATTGTAATGTATAATTTTAAGTTAGTGTAAGTTAGTATAAAATAGGTAAAGGCCATAAAGCATTTTCACAGTTAATATGTAAACTGAACAATGTAATGTCTACTAAAAATAAAATTACAAAATAAAAAGCTGTATAGCTACATCGAATTCAGCGACTGTCCGGAGGAGAACTCTCGCAGTATGCTGCTCTTATCGGTAGTTTTAAATGGTTTCTCTGTTTCCACCACCGGCCAATGCCGGAGCAATACTCTAACAATCGGAGCAGAGACAGCACGTGATGTTCCTTTCCTCATCCATGGCCTCTCCCCTCTCTTACAAACACACACACACACACACACACACACACACACACCCCATACTTACTTGCTCCACACTAGCACGTGTAACGGGAGGCCAGGCGCGCTTAGAGCTCGTCCCAGGCGAAGCGGTGTCCCGTTGGGGAGGTGCCGCGTGTGTGTGTGTGGGGGGGGGGAGGACTCGCGAGACCAGTTGTAGTTTGGCGGATCACAGATTCCAACTGTGGAGCAGCACCATCACCTGCTCACAACTTGTGCTTCTCTCACGGAATTAATTGCCTAAGACGTTGTGGGACCAGAAAACCGGCTGGAAATATTCACACACTATCGTTATTATGGCGATGTTGTTTCCCTCGCATGAGAGGCCTCTTTCTGCCTGAGAGCAGAAGCTTCACATTAGCTGCGATGACGAGGTCAGAATATTGATTATTTGTCTGCACACAAACCAACATTAAAATATTCATCAGTCTTGAGCCGCAAGTTAAGTGCATTTATTGGTTAGTCTTGCTTCTCGTGAACAAATAATATAATTATATCAACATGCTGACGACATGAGCTCATAATGTTTCATCTGCTGACGTTCATTCAAGAATTCATTCACTCAAGAGACATCTTGATTGGATTCAATGTAGAAATACAGTAGGTAAGTATTATATGAAGGTAAGTCCCATATTCGCCTCCTAGTTTAGGCGAGTGAGGAGGTTTAAGTCTCTTCCTTTTTCTGAGCATGGATAACTTTACGTCGTGAATGATAAGAGATGAATCGATATGTACGATTCATCTCTTATCATTATGTGTATTATTGATACTGCACAGGGGGTGATGTAGCAAGCTAACCGCGCCACAACAACATAGTGGAAATAACTATGAGTTATGCGGGGCGCAACGGGCAGCCTTGGGCTCATGCTCCCAGCGTCACCGAGACCGGCGGGGAATAACTCAAATATCGATATACTAAAAAACTGGGTCATTAGATGGTCTCGAAAAGAAACATATTTGGCTTTTGATAAAAAAAGCGAGTTCTGTTTTCCTCTCTATTTTTCTTTGATAAGAAACAACTCAAATAAAAATAGAGGAATCAATAAATTCTATGCATTTTAAGAAATGTTCAATTAGGCTTTAAGATAAGAACAGTTGGTTTCAATTAAATTGTTTTGCTAAATCTGAGTTTTAGAATGTACGTCCCACGTACTGAATTTTTTGTTGGATCGTTTATTTCTTTACAAGTATTCTGAATAATTTTCCATAAAGTAATTAAATATTGTTCTCAGGAGGAGAAAAAGAATAGTTGAAGATAATAAATATTATAGAAGAAAGAATTTGTCCTATTTTATTTCATGTTTTGACTTATTTTACTTCATGTTTGCAATATGTTTTCTGATTTGGAATAATTAGTTTATAAAACTTAAGACTGTTTATTCTCGCATCTTGCTTACAATTCTCTCTTCATGTTCTCTTATGAAAGAAACAAAATCTTATTTGCATTGTAACGATGACAGAGCCCGTATTTATTTCGCTTTTTTTAATTTTTTACACATTTTTTCTGTTTAGGAAGAGTCCAAAAGGTGACAATTGACATTTCAGATCTAACAGAAAGATATTATGAAATCAATCAGACAACTGGCCAAAGGCATTTTGATAACTTTCAGATCCCAACTGGCAGCAAGCTGCACAAATTTGGAGCCGTACTGCTCAAAGTAGTATTTTGTATTCCTAAAGAAGAATTTTCTGACAAATAATTTAAATAAATTTCTGGAGACTGTATTTTGATTTTAATTTGTGAAATTTTCGACTGCAAGAACTTCCATTAAATTTTATTTACACTGCCATTTTCCAGAAAATAAATAAAATATACTACGAGAAAAAAATTTAATTATACAGTTAGCTGAAACGGTTAATTTAATGTTGAACCATTTAAAGGGTTGACAGTTTGAAAAGCTTCTTTCTCGTGAATCAATTCTCGAAGTATCAGATTAAAACAACGGAAAATCAATTGATTATTATTACGTAAATGTTTTTATTACGTAGTTGTACAGACTTTCAGGGGGAGCAGCACGCCCCTTTCCTATGTGCATGTCTATGCTCTGAAGCATCAGGCCTATTCTGCGATTAAATTAGAGCGATTTCTGACGTTCGATCAGGTCCATGCGGTTATCCATTTGGGTGGCTCGGGGCATCAACTGATGTCACTGTGGTGCCTGTGACCGAGTTCAAGTCCCAACGGCGAGAGGATTTTCAACACTAGCTCGATAACTAGGTCGAATACAGGCACTTTCCGAAGGAGAATTCCAGCGTTCAACTGTTCTGATCGGTAATTTTCCATTTTTTTTCTTACCCTGTGAATGCTGGAGCAATGCACTAACGAATGGGCGACGGACCGCGCGCGATCTTTCCTACCTCTTCCTTGACCTGTCCTTACCCCTTACTTACGCTCACTTACACTTATCTGTACTACAGTACCACACATATCGGGTGCTTAGAGCTTATCCCGGCAGGGGTGGTTTCCTGTCGGTGGCTGGGGTGCTGACGGGTGCTCAGCGCCCAATATTGCGCGGGGGAAGATCATCCCGACTTCCCACGATAAAAAAACATACACCGCACTTACGGTACTTATGAAGAGACAGTTGACGCGGCCAACATCACTAATCAATCAATCCAATCGGGGGCTTCAATACCCCAAATTTGGTTGTTACGGAGCTCCCGATTGGCCAACCGTGTCCAGGACGCTGATCGCACGTCAGAAGAGTCTGTGATTAAATCGGAGTATAAACTGCGGGTCTGCGAAACGCGGCGGCGCGGCCGGCCTGCTGCCAAGGAAAACCTGCTTCCTGGCGAGCGCGCGGCGGGCGCCGGCAACGCCGCTGCCGCCCGCGGGCGCCCCTCGCGAGCCACCGGCGAGGTCAGTGCGGGCGCCGCCGACCAGCGAGAATCATGTGCGGCGCGCGATGCGTGGCGGTCGCCGCCGTCCTGATCGTGTGCTGGTGCAACGTCGTCTCTGCTCACGGGAACAAATCCCCGGTCACCATCATCGTGCAAGCCTTGAATCCCTCAGGCCTACGCATCGCTGTGACAGGTTTGTTGAAATGCACGCCGCGTAAGACGAGCGACACCCGGCGTGCGCAATCGCCTTGTTCATGTTGATGATGCGGAGTGGTTGGGCACTTTGAATATCGCGCTTAACGCTACTAAATGTCACGAACATTTCTCTTCTAGTCACCTTAAACATTTTCTTCGTGAGATTTTCTCCCAACCAAAAGATTCATAACGTCTGCTAACCTAATTTAAAGATACTTTTGATTTAATTGCCTGTAAAAAATGTAAATTATCTTAGGGAATTTGTGTCGTAAAATCAAATATTATCCCACAAAGATAACCTTGTTTTAATTAATATTTTTGTACTGTACTAAATCAGTAGTTACGTGCCGGCCGTGCCGGCGTATCACAACGCATCCAACATACGGGAGGTATTCTCAGTGTGAAATAATTATATTTCGCTTTTTGGAAAATTCTATATTTATGTACTTTTACTAACCTCGAAATTTCTAATTTATATAACTAACTTTTTTATTTTTAGAGAATTTTCAAGTCTTTTTGATAAAAACACAATATCCAGCATGCCTTACATTAGGATTGGTAATCCAGAAGCGCGATCTTGAGATTTCTCGGAACCAACGCAATACCTCGACTGCACAATCCTTCTCGAACTTTTCCGTGATTTTCGTGCACATCATGTCATGACGCGTGCATTTGTATGGCCGATCTAAGTATCGTTGCCGTTATCTTTTTATTTATATTAAATTATAATTTATTTGTGAATAAATGGTTTCTCTCTTATTCTGTATCTTATCGAACGTGAAGGAATCAGCTTACTTCACGAGAACATGGTGAACGATAACACGGAAAGGCGTCATACTCATAACCTCAAAATTTTAAGGTGATTTTATACTCCAATTTTTTAAAGTAGCGCTAGATGAACAATCGGAAGCGTAAACGTCATCACGGTAGCGTCATGTCACAGTGACCATCACCGTCGTCACAAAATTCACCATGTATTTGTATAATATATCAATCAATAAATAAATGTATTGAAGCGGATATAGGAATCCAAGGGTTGCGAATTCGATTCCATCATTACACATGGATAGTTTTATCATCTGACAATGGACAAAATGGCAAGTTAAATCCATATTATCATTTATAACTCTGCCTATTACCACCTGCCGCAACACATTAAGGTAACATGCTAAATGAAGTGAAAATTTATTACGCATATTCTCTACAGATACACCAGGAATTGATGTCGTCGTCATCAACGCCAATATTAATGCTCCCATTGTTGAAAGTGATTCAGGGAAGATAACGGGGAGTGTTGTAGAATCTCAAAATGGTTTATGGATGTTGGAAGCAAAGGATGTGGCCTTGAAAGAAGGTGATGTTGTGTTCTACTCAGTGTACGTGGCTTGTGGACAGCAAGGCGACCGGATGAAAGGGCAGCAACCAATACTAAGTAAGGCGTTTAGTGTTGTGCTGATGTCTCCCCAATTGCTTCGCTTTTCCTTTTATTATTTTAACGAAGCTCATGGCATACAGATCTGGTGGAGCCAAGCTGCCGACCCTCACCAACAACTGTCAATGGTCGAACAGTGTGTGGAGGAGAACTTGTACTGGAAGAAAATTTCGATACTCTGAATAAATCCCTGTGGAAACACACCATACAGTTTTCGGATGAACCGGCAAGTACATCTATTTAAGCTAGAAAATACTTTTTTCTTGAACTCTTAATTCATTAAGTTATAAAATAACGAAATAACTATATATGTTTGCAAATTGTGTCAATTCACGTACAGAAATTACTGATTAAAGTATTTTAATTTAATTTAAATAATTATATTGAATTAAAAATGTTTACACTGCATGCCATACTCTACAGGATAGAGATTTTTGTACGTACACAGACAGCGAAGAAAACAGCTTCGTGAGAAATGGAGTTCTTCACCTCAAAGCAACAATTCTGGATGCTCATGATCTACTGAAACCTACAAAATTAAGAAGGTACAAGACGTTCGTTGTTTACATTTTTTGTGCGTATGAAAGTTAAGTCATACATTTTTGTTAGTGTAAGTGGCTTTTAGGAGTGATAAAAATCATTTTGTCAAATTACCCCGCCCCTCCTTTCCTCGCTCTTGCGTTCGACTCTCTTCCTTGCATCCATACTCCGTGCCATTCCCTCTATGCACCAGCCGCTGCAATCACTGTTCACTGCGCCCCACCCATTCCCGAAATGCACCCTCCTTCCCTGCTGCGCCTCCCTTACTTTTGCGCTCCACCCCTACCCGCAGTGCGGAAGATCTCGAGAGGCGGATACCCGCTGTCACCAGTGAGACCCATCGCTGGTATGCCGCTGCGCCCCTCTCATGCCACACTGCTGCGCCCTCATCCCAGGCCCAGCCTGCGCGCCCTCCCATCCCGAGAAATGCACCCTCCTTCCCTGCTGCGCCTCCCTTATACTTTTGCGCTCCGACCCCTAACCACTGTCAGGCGCACCCATCCTTACCTGCGCTGCGCACCTCTCACTGCCACACGTTGCGCCCTCACCAGCCCCCGTGGCGTCCCTCCCCTTCCGAAAATCACCGTCCTGCCGCTCGCGCTCCCTATGATGTTTGCGGCGCTCCACCGTACCGCGTCAGCCACTCCATGCCTTACTCGCTGCGGACCCCTCTCACGCACTGCCGACAGCCTGCTGCGCCGTGCATCCAGCCCCTGCGCCCGCATTACCCGGAGAATGCCACCCTCCGGGCTTCCGTGCTGGCCGGCTCCCTTACTTTGGTGCGCGTCGCAACTTTCGCGGCTAACCGCCTGGTCACAGCAGCGTGTACAGGGGCGCTGCGCCCCTCGTCGGACGGTTGCCACGAGGGGGACTGCGGGCGCCTCAGTCCCAGCGCGCCTGGCGCCCCTGCCCATTCCGAAATGCACTGCTCTTCGCGTGCTGCGGAGCCTCCCCTCACGGTTTTGGGCGGCTCCCATGCCAACCGCCTACCCACGCTTGTCAGCGCACTCATGGCCTTAATGGCCGCTGCGCCCCTCTCACTGCCAGCCAGGACTGCTGCGCCTCGAGATCCCATGGCGTCCCCTTGCGCGCCCTGCGCCATTCTCCGAAATGCAGCCCCCCTTGCTGCCTGGCGCCTGCCCTTACTTTTGCGCTGCACCCCTACTCCACGTGTCAACACCCATCCTTACTCGCTGCGCCCCTCTACTGCACAAGTGCACATCGCTGCGCTCATCCCACCATGCCCCGCTGCGGCCCTGCTCGCATATTCGCCGGAAAATGCAGCGCCTCCTGTGCCCTGCGTGCGCCTCCCTGTACTTTTGCGCTCGCACCCCTACGCTGGCACTGTCACCACCTCATGCCTATCGCTGAGCCCTCATCATCACGAGTGCACACCCCGCTCGCGCCTCATACCACCCGCTGGCGTGGCCGGCTGCGCTGCAGTTCCGAAAATGCGCACCCGCCTTACGTTCCCTGCTATGCGCGGATTCCTTCACTTACTTTGCGCGTCCATCCACCCCTACCGAGCTGTCACCGTGATGGTCCAGGCACCTTAACGCGCAGATTGGCGCCCCGCTCACTGACACGGACTGCTGGCGGCCATCCCAGGCCCCCTGCGCCCGCGTCCCATTCCCCGAAATAGCACCCTCCGTCCCTGCTGCGCCTGCCTTAACTATTGTGTCGCTCCACACCTAGCCGCACATGTCGCACCCATCCTTGACGCGCTGCGCCCATCATCACTGCGACAGTCTGTCTGTACGCTCACTCCCAGCCCGCCTCTGCGCCTCGGCTCGCCATTCCCGAAATGCACCCTCCTTTCCCCTGCTGCGCGCCGCCTTGATATTTCTGCGCTCCACCCTTACCCACTGTCACCGACCTCATCCTTTGACTCTCCTGCGCCCCTCTCACGTGCCACACGGGCGTTGAGCGTGTGCCGCTATCCTGCACCTCCGCTGCGGGCCCCTCCCATTTTCCACCTATGACTTCCACAGCTCGCGCGCGCAGCCCTCGTATCATTCTCGGGTAGTGCATTCCCCTCGTGCGCTCGCCACACCTACTCGCTGCTGTGCCACCGCACTCCCGTGATGCTTCTCCATTCCTTCGCGCACTACACCCTTTCACAGATAGGCGACAAGCAGCCTATTCGTCGGTTATGTCCAGGCCGCACAGGCTGTCGCCCTCCTCTACCCCTGCTATCCTCTGTCCCAAGCTGCGACTGCACGCCACGGCGCCCGCGAGAACTCTTGTTCGGCGGTCTGTGGGCCTCACGAACTCCTACACCTAACTACTTAACATAATAACGAGCACCAATTTCTTCCGTATATTACTGGTATTAAATGAACTCAATAGTGTTTCGTTTTTGATTTCCTACGTGTAGGTTTCTTTGTCAAGCTGGCAGCAATGTGAGACGCCCAGAATTCCAAGTCCGTGACCCGTGGGGGCCATCTCTGTCAAGGTTTGGGAACAGCACAGACACACGCGCTGGCAGGCTTCAGCTGAATGTGGCGGAGCGCAGGGGGTGTTAGCGCGGCTGGGGGTGGGCAGGGAGATCGGGAGGCGAAGTCGACGATCCGGCGCCAGAGAGCAAGCGGCGGGAGACGGACTGATGATCCGACAGGTAAGACGTCAACTTTCTACGGATGCTGCATGTTCTGTTGATAATAATTTTTGAGAAAAAAGGTAAAGGATGTCATCAAAGGTGTAGTTGTCACGGGTGGTTTTGCACATGACCGGTTATACCTCTTTACCGGTCACCTGGCGGTGGAAACGTGGGCCGAAGACAGCTTACGTGATTCCAAGATTGGTCCCCCATGAATCACTTCGGTATTTGTGTGTAAGCGATCAATGCAAAGACGTAAAAAGCAACAAATGTCTTGATAAAATAGTTGTTGATATTAATAATGAATCACAAAGAATCACGTCTCTTAAAAATCAATGTAATTGGAAAAGTAAGCCAGTAAAGGGAGAAATGGAACGAATCGGGTCAAAAACGTGTGGCATGTAGAACTGATTTGTGCCAATAGACACAGAACAGCTTTAAAGTCGTTATCACAAGTTTGTATAGAATGTAATTAGTCTCTATTTATTCAAGATGTTAGCTTAATTGTTACTGGCACATGTGCGTTTATATTTTATCGCGGATTAA